CATATTTGTTAAATACAATGGCTTTCAGTATAGTATTAAAAGTTCTGTGAAGAGACAGTTTCCCTTTAAACGAACTGTAATCTTGGTGCATATAGGTCTGTATGAAGACAGACTCCATGGTTTAAAGTCCTGTCGGGAATACTGTGATCTCTACACAAATAATGTTTATAGAATATGTATGTAGCAGCAGATTAACACTGAAAGCTGGTCTCACAGTTCAAGGATACTTTACAACCGTTCATTCTAAACCTGATAACTTGAAGGTCCAAATGTTCAACACACTTTTTTTTAAATAAAGTTTTATTGAAGGATATAGGAGATACAATTTATCTAGTTTATAAGGCAAAACACACATTCTTAAAGGGAATCTATAGTGTTAGAAGTGCAAATATGTATTCCTAATAGTGATGTCCCGAACGGTTCGCCGAACGGTTCGCTGCGGATGGCGAACATATGTGCTGTTCGGTCCGCCCCCTATGTCATCATTGAGTAAACTTTGACCCTGTACCCAGTGGCGTACTAAGGGGGGGGCGGGGGGGGGCGGTCCGCCCCGGGTGCCAGCCGGGTGGGGGGTGCCATGACCAGCCCCCCGGTCCCCCCCATGCTGCAGCCGCCCGAGCGCTCTGTGAAGAGCCTCAGGCGGCTGCAGCTTTGCCCGGGTGGTGCGTCCATGAGGGCGGACCGCACCGCCCAGGCGCAGCCTGAGGAAGGCAAACGGGCTGCAGCCAAAACTCCCTCCTGCAGCATGGTCGGCCAGACAGAGAGCAGCTGTCTCCTGTACCGGCGGACTAACAGGAGGTACACGCGGTGTGCGCTTCCTGTGATCGGCAAACTGGCTAAGCTACCCTTGGACCAGCATACAGGGCTAAGCCGCTACAGGGGAGGTAGGGGGGAGGGAGAAGGGGAGGGTGAGAAAGCACAGGATCCGCCCCGGGTGCCAAATGCTTTCTAGATGCGTAGCCCCTGCCTGTACTCACAGTCAATGAACACATTCCAGCCAATCAGCAGCAGGCCACTCCCGCTCCCAGCGCATTAGGCCCTCTCCATAGAAAAGCTTAGCCTCAATGCTTTCTTATGGGGATTTTACTGACGCTGGGCGTCCGTCGTCATTTAGGGGACCTAGATTCTGGTAAACTCCCAGAAGCGCCTCTAGTGGCTGTTTTAGCATTGCCTTGGTAACATTGCAGTTTCTCAAAAACTTCAATGATTCACATTGCAGGAGTAAATGGGACAGGGACATTGCACCCAGACAACTTTAATGAGCATAAGTGGTGTGGGTGCCTATAGTGTCCATTTTATATTTCCATCAATATATAATTCCTATTAATGTATCACTAAAACTATATTAAATATCATCCACATGTTTTCATAGATAGTACGCCTGTTAGAGTAGGGCCTTCTTCACCTCTTTTATCTGTTCATTTTTGTATTTAAATTACTTGTCAAATATTACAATTCTATAATTGTACAGCTCTGCGGAACATATAATTTTAGGAAGTATTACTTTACTGAAAGGGTAGTGGATGCATGGAATAGCCTTCCAGCTGAAGTGGTAGAGGTTAACACAGTGAAGGATGGAGACACCCTGCTCTCATATCCCTACGTCTCCACCGACATTATATACAGAGTAATTATATCGCACTAAGGTTTGTCTCTAGGCAATCTTATTTTCTGTTGATATTTGATAGGCGCAGTCACCCAGCTCTTTTACCATTGGGTGATAACTGTGTTTGTCCTCTGATTGTATATTTACACTATGATCACTGCGATGACCCTTTCTATTCAAATCCTCATACTGCCATCTAGTGGCTGCTTTCTGTACTGCTCATGTTTCTATTCCGCCTATGTTTGATGCTGTCACAAATCTGCATCATATTGACTGTATACCCTGAGTATAATCCTAACACTGGTGGCATTTTACCCATCAAATTACGGCCCTTGCCATTTCCGTACATCCAAATCTGTATTCCTAACGCTATAGTGTCCCTACTGGTATTCAGCCCCCCTCTACCTCCACATTAAAATGTTTAAAAAATACATTGTGCTAACCTTTTTTCAGCGGCAATGCTCCCTCGGCACTGCTTAACTATTTGCCTCCCGGGACATCATGGAGGAGGTATGGTCCAATCCAATGCTCGTCACAGGGAACCATTAGGCATCCTCCCGCTCACGCATTTAAACTTTCCCATGGGGCTATGGGACTTCTGCATCATGTGACCGAGTTATACTCAGTCAGTGCAGTGGTAACGGTGGACTTGTAAACGTTGTAGTTCCTAAAAAATCTTTTACATTGTAGGGTTACAACAACGGGAACACTGCACCCAAACCACTGTATTGAGGTGAAAAAATATGTGAGTCTTGTTTTTCTTCTCTGGGACTGGCTTAGCCCTTTCTGCCTACTTGGCC